AAGCAAACAAGAAAGTCACTGGCAATGAAATTTACTGGAGTGTGTAGGCAAGTCAATGTGTGTGGAGGGAGGGTGGAGAGGGCAGTGAGGAGTGAGGAAGGATATGATTTCCAATATTCTCACAAAATGATATCTAAACATTCTTTTATACCCGAAATTGTAACACGCATTTATAAACAATAAAATTTCAATTCAATTTGAAGAAATAGAGTTCCAACCGTAGGAAAATAACATTTACAGGAAACTGCTGTAAAGGGGTCCATATTTCTTTGTTTGATTAATCTGTCACAAAGTCAAAAAGTATTTAATACTTTGGCTGATGACAAAGTTCATCTCAAACATGAGGGGCTATATTTTGAATTTATAAGACAATAATATTATTAGTGATTACACATGTGTTCAAAGAAGTAAATGAAAAATGGTTAGAAATTTAGAGTTATAAGTTAAAATGCCTTATTAAGAAAAAATTTGAATTTGTTTGTCTGGATTAACTAGTGAAACAAAATCATTGACACTCATCTGTGTATAAGAAAAAAGTTTATATAAATGAGCAGCTGTATATTGAGAACATATCTCAGTCCAGTCCAGATCAAGTCCGTAAGTCTGATATTAGCCTATATGTCTGATGCTAACCCAGAATTTCCTCTTAAGACTCACGCGGTATGCAATGATACCAAATGCAGGAAGATCACAGACCAGTGGGTCGAAGGTCTTATGGATCCAGTGGCAGTGGACACATCTTAACACTGGTGTGGGTCTCCACTTGTCTCCTCCAGCTCTCTGAGTGTCTCAATAGCAGGAAAGGGAAGGCAGAGAGTGGGTCTGACCTCCAATGAGCTATTTTTCTCTGTCGCACCTACAAATGAGGTATCAAGCTGTGACCTGATTGACAGGTGAGACTCTACCCCTTCACTGAAGTTGACAGGAGATTATGTAACCACCACATGAATGAAATTATATATGTGTTTTAAAAGAACCAAACAGAAATTCTTCAGTTAAAAATTCACTACTGTAGTGTTAACTTTAATAGAGAGATGCATAACAAATTTAAAATGGTACAAGACAGCATCAACAAATCATGAAGTTAAGCCAGCTGTGAATACTGAAATCTGAGGAACAAGAAAAAATAAAACAACAAATTTAAAAGACTCAGAAACAGCACAATTTTAAGCTAACAAAATATGCACACTAGTGGTCTCACCAAGAGAAAGGGGAAAGAAAAATATTTGAAATTAATAACCAAATACTTGCCAATTTGTTGAAAAACAATTTATGCATCAAAGAAACACAAGGTTTTAGGGACGCATGATCAATACTCAAAAATTAATTTCATTTCTTCTAGATTATCACAATGAAGTTTCAAAAAGTATAAATCACTTAAGAGTACATTTTCAAAGGAACATGCAAAACCCGTATACTGAAAAATAAAACAAATTGCTGAACAAATTAGATAAAATCTAAATAAGGATAAGAAAATCATGCTGTTTCTTAAGTCTTAATATTTTTAAGGTAAAACTATTCCTCAAGTACTCTATGGATTAAACACATTTTGTATCACCAGCCAAATTTTATACAGATTGACAAGCTGGTTCTGAAATTTATACACAGGGGAACCAAAAACTTCTTAACTCTCTGCCGTCGAGTCAATTCCAACTCATAGTGAATCTATAGGACAGGGTACGACCGATCCCTTTAGTTTGCAAAACTGAAGATCTTTACAGGAATTGAATACCTTGTCTTTCTCTTGTGGAGTGGCTGGCAGCTTTAAATTGCTGACCTTGCGGTTAACAACTCAATGCATAACCACTATACCACCGGGCTAAAGTAGCCTTTCTAATTTTGAAAAAAAGCAAAGAGGAGTAGAACATATACTTCCCAGGTTCAAAAGTCAATGCTAAAGTTATGTTACTCAACACATTGTGTTGCTGGCATCAGGACTGCCATACAGATCAATGGTTCAAATTGAGTGTTCAAAATTAAAACCCCATATGTACAGTCAATTGATTGTCAATGTCAAGACAATGTTATCTGGGAAAATTTAGGATGGCTATATAAATAGTTTGAACTAATTTTCATAAATGATTTACGCTTTCTCTCAATTAATATCTATCTACATAAGTGTGGAATCATGGGTATTTGTTCAATGCTTGTATTATAATCCAATACTACTGCTATTATTTTATTGTTCAAATTGTCTCTCTGTAAGTATTGGGGGCTCTTTGTTTCCTGTCCATTGATTTATTTGGGGATGGTGGAGGGCACTTTGTTAGTCTTAGTGGATTTTTTTGAATGCCTCTCCTCAACAAAACTGCTCTGTACAGGAACATACTAGAAGGTTCTGAATAGGATTGGGGGAAATGTGGACAGAATTCAAAATCTTAAGAGATCAGGCCTATTGGTCAGACAGAGACCAGAAGAACCACCAGGCCTGTGACTCTTACCCTTCATTTCTGCAAGTGAATTCACTCCTGCATAAGAAATTTCAGCCATCTAAGATTAAAAGGGCAGTAATTACCTAAGGACAATGTTCAGAAGTTAAAAAAGAAGGAGCAGAAGTAGAAGATACAGGGAGAAAGTGGGATACGTGATGACAATTAAGGGGATTGCAATGGATGAGTTGAATCAGAATGTGTATGAATTGCTAAATGTAAAACTATGATCTGCTCTATAAACCTTCACTTAAATTGAAATAAAAAGTTTCTAAAAAGTGCTCCAAATTCATATTTCCTGTCCAGATTCATATTTTATTTTACTTCCCTTTTCAGTTCCGGCATACAATTCTCATATACCCACTTCACACACACACACACACACACACACACACACACACACACACATACACACACACACGTTTCAATTTCAACAACAAATATCTAGATACACTCACACATCTGCCTGTATGTGAATTTCTTGGTGTTGTTAGGTGCCAACAAGTTGGCTCTGACTCATAGAAATTGCATGTGCAACAGAACACAACACTGCCCAGTCCTGTGCCATCCTGACCACAGTGCTTATGTTTGCACTCACCCTGTTCCTTTCACTGGTTAGAAAGGAAACCTGGGAACTCGTGCTATTACTACAACTACCATAACAGTATTTTTCATAGTAATCAAAAGAGCGAAAACAGGTCAGTTGTTCACCGGTTAAATCCATAAGTATGAGTTATCAATGAAAAAATATTTTTAAACAAAAAGAAGGAATTAAGTACCGATAAATGCTTCCAAATGGATGAAACAAACAAACAAACTCACTTCCATCTGGTTGATACTCACAATGACCTAAAGGGCAGGGTGGTAGCCACTGTGAGTTTCAGAGACCAACTCTTTAAGAGAGTAGAAATCCTGTCTTTTTCCTAAGGAGGGGCTGGTGATTTCCAACTGCTGACCTTGTGGATTGCAGGCCAATGTTTAGCTACTATGCCACCACCTACAAAAACAGTCAATGGTGAGTGAAAGAAGCCAGTCCTCCAAGCACACACACGTATTCACAAATATATTTGTGATTCAATTTTACGTCCAGAAGAAGCTAGTTGAGGAGGAGACTAGGACTGAGGAGGGGAGAGGTAGAAATAATGAAGTGTGATTGAAAATGGGTTTGAAATTCCTTTTTAGGATGATTAAATTAGTTATAAATTAGATCACAGTGATGATTTCACAACTCTGTTTTAAGGATACATTGTAAGATAGGTGATTTTTACCTCAAAATGTTGCTAAATACAATCAATGCTCATGGAAGCAGCCGTCAGGAAATCAAAGGACACATTATATGTGTAACGCAATTATAAGGGATAAGAAATTCAAACTATTTAAACTTTTATATAAAAATAAATGTCCATGCTAAATGTTATTTGCCATTTAAATTAGATACATTTTAGCAATGCTACAATACAGTTCCATAGATGCTGAGCAGCTTTTTAAAATAATTTAACAAGTTTATTTGTAATACAAAGTATCCGAACTAAAGTATTTGATGGATTCAGATAAAGGCATTTATCTGATATCATTATATTTCTATATCATCTATATTTCTATCTATATTTATAATCATTTATTTCTTTTACTTTTTAAGCCAGTATCATACTGAACAGTGGGAAACCTAGAGGTACATACACTAACATGCTATAGTGGGAAACCTAGAGGTACATACACTAACTACTATGCATTAGATGAGTCACTTACTTTACTATGCATTAGCTTTTTCTAACATCCCCATTCAAGTTCACAGCATCCTGCATGTCTCTGTGAATAGACTATCGGCTTCTGAAGCAAAGCACTTTATGTTGATCTCTGATTTATACTATGGAGAGCTGAGCAATGTGGTTGATCAGTACATAGAGTAATGCAGGTCCTGGAGATGGTTCTTTAGATAACAGCTTTGTTGTCTTTAGACAGTAATATATAATTTTATGGAAGTATTTTTCCTGCCGTTTATATTTAAGAATAAATTGTGGACATCTCTTCAGAGAAATATTTATGGACATACTGGATTATTTTAAATAGTTTGTTGCTATATGAGGGGTATCCGCCAAAACTCGATACTCATTTGTGTTTTCTTTTATGTGAGGGGGATGGATAGTGCATTTGGAGTTTGTTCCACCATGTCAGACTCTTAATCAAGCTTTCTATTTAGAGGTTCTGAAAAGATTGTGTAACAGTGTATGACAAAAAAGGCCTGATTTTTGCCAGAAGGGAGACTGGTTTTGCCAACAAGACACCATTACAATGCACCTGCTCATGCAGCCATCTCAGTGCACCAGTTCTTGCCAAAAACCAGCATGCCTTTCTTGTCCATGCACCCGACTCACCAGACCTTGCTCTGTGTGACTCATTTATGTTTCTACGAATGAAGAGGGACATGAAAGGACAGCATAGACATGAAAGGACATTTGACAATGTAACAGAGGTAAGAAAAAAATGAGGGAGGTGCTGTCAGCCATCCAACCAAATGAGTTTGAAAAATGTTTCCAAGAATAAAATTGCAGATTTGACAAATATATTGTAATGGAGAGTAAGTTGAAGGTGTTATGGCTGTTTTGTAAGAAAATTTAAATGCATATCTTTGAAAACAAATTCTGTTTTGAGGGAGTACCCCGTGTGTGTGTATGTGTTTGTGTGTGTGTATTGTCAAGGATTTTATCTCACTTGGATCCACAATCAATGCTCATGGAAGCAGCATTCAAAAATTGAAGGATACACTACATTGGGTAAATCTGCTGCACAAGACCTCTTGAAAGTATTGAAGAGCAAAAAAGCTACTTTGAGGACTGAGGTGTTCCTGACCCAAGCCATGGTATATTTCAATCAGCTTTTCTGCATGTGAAGTTGGACATTGAATAGGAAGACTGAATAAGGATCAATGTGTTTCAATTTTGGTGCTAGAGATGAGTATTGAAAATATGGAAGACTACAAAAGAACAAAGAAATCTGTCTTGGAAAAAGTACAGTCAGAAAGCTCATTAGAGGCAATGAGGTGCAGACTTTATCTCATGTACTTTGATATATTGCCAGGAGAGATCAGTCCCTCAACTAGGGCATCATACTTGGTAAATTAGTGGGGCAGTGTAAAGAGGAAGACTTTTAATAAGACAGATTGACACAGTGGCTTTATTGATGAGTGCAAACATAAGCACTGCTGTGAGGGTGGCACAGGACTGGACAGTGTTTTGTTCTGTTGCACATATTGTTTCTATGAGTCAGAACCAACTTGGTGGCACATAACAACACCCAGAAATGCGCACACACTCGTGTGTGTATTTTCTCGTTGAAATTGAAGTATGTGTTTGTGTGTAAAAAGTGGGTATATGCAGATTGTATGGCTGTGCTGAAAAGGGAAGTCAAAATGCAATGACACCATCCATATTCTCATCCTTGCCTGTCTGTGCAAATTGCCACATCTCATATCTCAGATACCTACTTCATCACTATCTAAACTCTTAAAGTTTTCACCTTTGCAGTTTTAAACCTTAACAATCAGGTCATGGACTCATTCCTTTTGTCATCTCTCCTTGATGACTACTAAAAAAAGGTACTCAAAGCTCAAAGCTTCTGAAAACATTTTCTGATTTCTCATATATTTTGTGATCTTAATATCCTAGAACTTTTTTTCTTTTCCTTGTGTACAATTTTAGGACCATGAGACTTCATCAACCAGATATCCATACACTTCCAACACAGACACATTATTTTGGGGTCTTTAGAACACATCATTTGAGAAATCACAATACCATTCAGAACTAAAATTAATATTACTCTCTCTGAAGTGACGATAAGCACTTGATAGAATGTGGGGCCACAGAATCTGTGCATAAGGATCTAGAAGCGTGGTAGGGGGCTTCAAAAATCCATGGGAAAATTACATTAAAGCTAGTAAAATAACTTCACAGACTTTTGAAGTCTATTCGCACATGGTCTGATTCCATCCAACTGATAGGAAAACCAGTAAGAAATAAGAGAGTAGTGAAACACTTTGATGTGTTCCATAACAACAAGCCCAGAGAAAGATAGTAAATCAGTGAGTGTGAACCTGGAATGGCCAAATCATTTACTCTGGATTACTGCTTCTCTTGCATCAGGATAGCGTTTTGTTACACATTTATATATCCTTAATTTTTAAAAATTTCTTTATAGTTGCATTTTCTGCCTACCTTCACTGGAATATAAATTCCATGGAAACTGAGTCTTATCAAACTGCTCCTTGTCATAACCACAGAATGAAGAATAATGCTAGATACAGTGTATGAAAATGTGTTTATTATATGGATTAATTCTTATAATTTTTCATATATTAAGTAAGTAAACGTAAATTTTAATCTTGGAAATTCATTAACAGTAGCATAATTTTATTAATAAAATTAATCCATAGACTCATAAAATTATACATGCAGAAAAGAAATTCACGTAGTACTTGTAACATATATATACATTTGTCTACAAAGAAATAAACACATTCTATAAAATATGGGATAATAAAAGCTTCTATGTAAAGTCATAATTCAGCAGACATTTATAGCAATGAAAATCCCATGTACAATGATATTTAAACATTCCAAAAACATCGTGCCCATAATAAGTAAACTATAATCATCATATAAAGGTAAGCACCCTATAACTTATTAAAATTTATGCAGGACTCATTAAAATAAGTTTATATATTTTAATATGAATAGAGACTGGATTAAGTTGCATACAAATTTCTCTTAAATAATTAAGACATTAAGGACATAAAATTATGTAAAAAGTACCATTATATGTATATGTATATAATGGCGATCCATGAATGGAGTTTTTAAATTATATGTTTTATTTTATTTATGCACCTAAGATGTAGGGATGGTAATTAATCAATTGGGAAAGTAAAGGGGTCGGTAATTAGGCCTTTAAATGTTCCAGAAAAAGGTGATATACAAAAGAGTATAAAATGAATTTGGCAGATGATTTAAGTCACCTGTGTATTCATGGACTGTCTCTCATATATTCTTTCATTTTATTCTTCTCAGACCATTTCCCTGATACTATGTTGTGACAGCTCCTCTCAATAAAAATTCCAATGTTGAGGCCAAGGAATGGCAATATCCTCAAACCGCTGCCTTACTTGAGATACAAATCTGTTTATATAGACAGTAAACATTAGCCTCTAGTATTATATCTGTCTTCACTGAAGCTAGGTATGGGAGAGACATTAAAATAGCTGGATTTTTGTTTACAATACCCAGAAAGCCCGACCCAGCCCACTTCATCAGAATAGCCCGCTACATTTTATGAAGAGCAGAGCCTAACCCAGGAGTTAGAGTTAGGGAACAATGGAAGCAAAGACTCATACACAAAATGGGTCTCTGTCTTCTCATCTCTGGTATTTAATTTGCATCTGTGTAATTCTCCTCTGTTTTCTTGAAGTTCTACTATGCATCGTATGGGAGACTTCATCTCTATCTGGTTGATTCAAACTCAGAGAGACACTTTAGGGTAGGATAGAACTTCCCCTGTAGGTTTCTGGGACTGTAACTCTTTATGGGAGCAGAAACCTACTCTTTCCCACAGGGCAGCTGGTGGTTTCAAACTTCAGACCTTGAGGAATTGCAGCCCAATGCATAACCACTGTGTCACCAAGCTGCCTTAATATAGGAGCCAACTCTTCCCAAGCTTTAATTGTTTTTAAAGTCAAGTTTAAACTCTTATTCATGTAATAACAAGGAATGGCTTGGACCATGTAAATATGCCATTCGTTTCTGTATTAATCAACTGTAACAAAGTATACGCTGTCATGTATTATATAATGACTATGGGCAAGTATGTTGTGCAGTAAAAAAAGAAAATATACTTAGATAATGCATGCAGGGATTTTATAGCTAAAGCAATAAACAGATTGTATTAAGTTAAACTGAGAATAATAGGAGCCCTCATCACCTAAAGAGATTATCCAGGTTTAGTGTGAGGTCTACTCTAAGCAATTATTCATGGCAAATGGCTTTGCAAATTTCTACTGGTAATTTCAATGCTTTCTCGTCATTGTGTGGTCAGCCAAACAGACTGGGAAGAAGTGGAAATCTAGGGAAAGATATCCTCTTAAGCAGCAAAGGTGGCTTCTTCCCCTATCTTATTGACATGAACTAGCCATATGGCCAGTCAAGCTGTAATTCTGAATAAAGAATATAGTCTCCTAAGAAAGAAAGAAATATAGAAATATATCTGCCTGGAGGAGTAAAGTAGGAGAGAGATGTAGTGTATGATATTGTATGCAGCATTTCAGTAAAACTGTTTTATTTGGTATTAAAACTATCCCTATAATTAGTTATGTGTGTGCCCCGATGTCACAGAGAGCTTTGGGCTAAAAAAAAAATGAAGGTTGGAGATTGAACTCACTAGCCACTCTAGGGGAGAAAGATTGGATAGTCGGCTTCATAAACTTTTACAATTTTGGAAACCCTGAGAGGGTTATTTTATTCTTTCCTACAGAATAACCATGAATTGGAATGGAGAGATGGCAAGAATTTCATAAGTGATGCCACATTAGCTGATTCTAAAAAAGGCTTAATAACTTCTGATGGACATTTTGACTAAACTATTAGGTAGAATGTTTTCTGTGCCTTTGAAATAGTTCATCAAAGGATCTTAAAGAGAAAGATGTAATCAAATGATTCCAACAATAGCTTAAAAGTGGTGAATTCATGAATTCATTATTTTACATAAAATAATGTAAGTTTTGTGTTTAAGACTTTTTTAAAATACAAATTTCTTTAGCTTAAGATCAATTCTTTTGATAGCAAGAAGAGCAACCCTTAACACTTGAATAACCTTAGCAATTTCCAAGTTGTATTGTTCAAGGTTAAGAAATTACTTTCTAACCATTTCAAAGGTAAAGTGCTCAGATATAACAGTTACCCTAATCTGCGTTACTCTATTTCCCAAATTAATTCTAAGGTTCTGAATGTCTTATAAAATTTTTTCAATATTGTTTGACTCTAAAGATGGTGCAGATGGGAGGGAAATGAGGAGTGGCCTGGAGGATAGCATTCTATTCCTTGGAGAAACATTATTGCAGCACTAATCAAATCACACAGCCTTGATTGTTCTCCAAAAAACAAATAAACAAAAAAAAATCCAGATCACTGAGTTTAAAAGAGCAATACAGCAATGGGGAAAAGGGCTGTCTCACAAGGAAAAATATCTCCATCTGAAGATCACTAGTTGAAGTGTATGTGTTTCAAGAGAAAACATGAATGACTGGATTTGTTACTTGAATAATCTAAACTTAAAGAACTGTGATACTTAAAACATTACTTTAGAGAAAAAGGAAATATGCTGTGAATTTTCCTCCCAGTACAAAAAAAGGTGAGCAAAATATTTGTAATCTTCTCTTTTTATTGGCTTTTTTGTTTTTTCTTTTTTAATCATTTTATTGGGGACTCATAAACTCTTGTTACAAACCATACATCAATTGTATTTGCCATATTTGTACATATATTCCATCATTCTGTTCTAGTCATTTACTTTCCATTGAACCCTTGGCATCAGCTCCTCCTTTTTTCCCTTCATTTCAAGAATGAAAAACCTTCAAGGAAACTACTTTCATCCGATCAGATTCATTTATGAGATGAATCTTTTGAAGCTGAATTATTCAAACAGTGCCGATAGCAATGTCTTTAATTTTTATAATGGTAAATGATGAAAAATGGACATGGATTCTCTTTTATAAAGAATAAACTTTATTTGCATACTGCATTCAAAACAACACATCCTTTAAATTGTCCTGTTGTTAATAGTGCACTACTGAGTGTGACCACAGAGATGCCAGACCCTAGCTTCCTACATTGCTCTTGTTTCTGTACCTCTTTATGCCACTGGCTCCTCATGTAAACAGCAAAGGTTAATGATACTTACATGATTCAGGATAGACAAACGTATATAAGTAAAGTTATTAATGTGGTCTTTAGAGCATGATAAAAGTTCAAAATCTAGCAACAAAATAGAAAAAGAAAGTTTTGAGTAAGCAGCCTTCTTAACTCTTCGCCATAGTACCGTGATGCTGCTGTTCTGGGTCGCTCTTGACTGAGTCCAATTCCAGAGGAACCCATGTGTGAAGTGTAGAATGTTCAGGGCTGTGACTTTTCAAAAGCCGATTTCCAGGTCTGCCTTCTGAGTTGCTACTGGGTCAACAAATATTTGCTTAATAACCCAAGGATTCTTAACTCCATGAATCTCTATTAAAATAGAAAAACTGACAAAAAGGAAGAAGCTTCCTTGATGGAAGAGAACCCCTATTTCAGTAAGGGTCTCAAACAAATGAAATTGCTTGTAATTTGGTAGCAGAGTCTACTTTTCTTGTAACCTCAAAATACAATAAGAGAATGGACAAAGAAAATCGGGCTTAGTAAATTGAAAAAAGGAGCTTACAAAGAAAATGTGGCTTAGTACATTATTTTTTTCTCTTCATATTGCTTTTGGTGGTTTATGGCCATAGATAGTAGAATAAAGGCTGCTAATATTTAGTTAATTGTCCTATTAAAACACTGACTGTTATATACACACTCTGCTCTCATGAAAGGCTAATCCAGAACAAAAGAGATGCGCAATGCTTGAGAAGAGAAAGAACTATGGTAAGTACAATGCTGCTATAATTATCATAATCACAGCATCTTTTTAAAATTACTCAGTGCCAAATTACTTGAGAAGTGAGTGACTGAGTCCAGGTTAAATGGAAAGAGATTTTTGAGATTAGTAGGAAATATTCATTCATGCCATTGGCCACCAAGAAATATTTATAAAGTACCTACCCACATAAGTACAACCAACTTTGGAATACAAAATAAGGGATGAGAAGAGAATGAGAACATTACTTTCCTATAAAGTACTATGTTCTCTTTTATTAGAAATAAATATAATGGAATGCTTTTGTACTACTTTGAGGTCTGAGTCTCTGTTAGATGCTACTTATGTAATAACTAAGTAGTAACTTAGTAATTAGGCCAAATGTAATAACTACTTTTGTCTGCATAGACTGTATTGTCTACTGTTAACTTGATTTACATGTCAGAATTCACTTCTAGCCCATATATATATATATATATATAT